GGAAACAGGAAATTGGAGGAAAGATGCGCGACGTGGGAAGGTGGACGAACCAGGGCAACAGGGCTGGGCGGGCAACAGTGGGCTGTGGGAAGGAGCGACCGTTTCTGTGTTGGTTCTTTTGTTTTCATTAACGCGTTCCTGCCTTATTGACCTTTGGGAGCTAAAATGGAAGGTACATTTTTGGCAGTCACTGTTGTGGTCTCGAGCTTGGTGCTGGGCGCATCCCTGGCGGAAGCCAGAGCTCAGACCCGCTTTGAAAGGCACTGGCAAATCACCGCGCAGCATCTGTGACTCGGGTACCTGTCGCTAAACCGGGTTTGGGCAGGAGCGAACAAACGAGCCAGCCAGGTCCCCTGAAAAGCAGCACGACGCACCAGCAGCCAATCAGAAGCAGTCATTCTGTGGACGGGCAACAAAACACAAAACGGGCAACGAAAACGAAAACGGTTCTGGCCAAGGCTGTGAACTCTCCGTTTTTGATCATCATGACCCTTTTCTGTCCTGGCTCTCGTGAAAGATGCTCACGCGATGTGCAGTCGGTCGAATCGAGTTCCTGTCGCGCACCAGCCGTGGGTTTTGGATGCGTGGTTGTTTTGGAGTTCATTGCACGACACAACACGGAAGAGGCGCGAGTGGGCATTGTTTCGATGCCCGATATGTTGAACGCCGCGCAAACAGCGCCACCCGCCATTGCTGGTCATATCTTACACAGGCACTGCTTCTGGCGGTGCACCGTTGCGCAGGAGTATACGGCATATGCACAGGCAACGCGCGTGGAGACAGGACAGATTCTTGTGTTGGGCGGCAAGACGGCCATTCGCTATGTTCTGTTACTTGAGATACAAGACTGTGTCTGGATACCTAGAAGGTAACGGTCGGTGGCGCTGACAGAGGCCACGGCGGCCGAGAAGTCAATCACAGATAAGAAGTGTATGCTGCATGCTGTGCCACGGTCCTCTGTGCGCAGGACGTTCATACAGTGCCACTGGCAGAGCACTAAGAGATGCCGAATGACACCAGATGGGGGAGCGCGAGTGGGCAGCATGTCTCGCTCGTCTACGCTGTCGATGCCCTGTCAACTGACTCGGTCGCGCCAGTGCGTCGTGTTTGAGCACAAAGGTGGCATGTCATCCGAAGAGACAGCGAAATACGGGGTTGAATAAAGGAAATACGGAGCACAGAGGCTATACTTTACACCAAGGAGTGGAGCGGCAAGGCCAGGGGTGGTAATACATGCAGCACGTCGACCAAACAACAGCTTCCGGTCTATCGTGAGATGGCAATAGGTGAGGGAGAGGAAAAGAAAGCAGACAAAAACGTGACGGTAAATGTAACATCTTAGCAGTGTACAACTACTACGCACGACATGCTCGGAACACAATACGGAGACTCTCCCTCCGGCCAAGTCAAAAAGAAGAGGGTGGCCGAGATGATGGTTGTCGTCGCTTGAGCACGTCGGAGAAAGGGCTGGTCGAAACCGAGGCAGGGAAAATCAGGGGCTCTGCTAGAGTGGGCGGGTGATGAGGCGAGCGCCGCGAAACTAAATAAGAGAGTCAGAGGATACGATAAAAAATAGATTGCGCAAGAAGAATCGAAGAATGAGAAAGGAAAAGAGTATGTCGTATGTCGACGAGATGGCTATTGATGTCGGTGAGATAATCTTGAGAGTGGTGAGAGGCTGAGAAGAGCTTGCCAGCAAAGCAATTCAGCCTCTTTTCTGGAGACCTGCCGAGCCGGCAAGGCATCCTTCGCCCGTGCTTATTTGCTTTTTCAGTTGTTCGTCGTACGTTGCAATGCGTCGTCGCCTTCCCAGCCGCCTTCTTTTTGAAAAGAGAAATTGATGAGAAGAATTGTAACAGCAAAAGTGACACAGAAAACTCTACACATGGGCGGACAAGCAAAATGCAGGGGCCTGATGCATGCTGCGAGGAGATGCATCGATTTTTGTGCCTCTTTTGCACAAGCGTCAGGGTTTCTGTGGTGGTTTGAGCATGCCCGCTGCAGGGGTTCAGGGTTGTGCCCAGTTGAATGCGAGGCCTTTCACTTGTGGTTTGTGAGCCGAGACGACCCTCTTTGAGCCAGTAGTGTTCAGCAAGACTCTAATTTTCAGCTGCTTGGCACACTCGACAACACATCACAAGCGACAAAGCGTGCGTTGACCGTTTTGCGCACTTGCCGTCACCGTCCACCGTATCTATCGATCTGGCCGATGAGGCACAAGTCTCCAAATTCCAGTCGTTGTCGACAGTCGACTGTGGTCCTATGAGACGCATTCCAGTCGTCCGTAATACTGGCCTCACCGCCTGGCACAAGCAGAGAAAACGAGATCTTTGACGTCAGATTTTCCAAATTTCGCACCGGTTACTGATCCAAGAATGGGCTACACATCCAAAAGGAAAACGAAAAAGGAAAAAGGAAAATCAGAAACAGAGGGGCTCACCATGGCCTCCGTTTTTTTTGGAAAAACAATCATCGTCTGTCCCGTTTCCATATCGTAGACGATGGAAGGTCTTTGTACAGCGTATGGAGTATTGTTCTAGGTTATCGATGTTCGAATCTTGCTCCGTTTCTTGCGCTCTCTTATCAATGCCGTAGATCTAGGAGTCAACTAGCATGCGCATCGTCAACCAATCGATCCGCCGTTTGTGACAATCTGGCTCTCCTTTGAAACCCGGAGGTTTTTGGCAACTAAAGCCATCATGGCCACTCCGTACTTGGCAAAAACATAAACAGGGCCGGCTTATGAGGAATCTTATGAAGTATCACTTTGAAAACAAAAGGAAAATAAAGAATATAAAGAATAAAGACGTGGCCCATCGTTGCCCATATGTTTGTGACGTCGTCTGCGTCGTGTTTACGAGTCGTCATTCAAGTCAAAACCAGTCGTGTAGACTTGCCGCCGTTGAACGTAAAGGATGAAAAGCCCCCTCCCAACGGTGCGCCACATAACGAACATCCGACGTCGATCCCTCACATAGATACCACAGTTGAGGACAGAGAGGCTCATGGCGTGTGGTGTAAATCCAAAAGACGGCGTACGTCGCCCTTCCCGTCCAGGACACTCCAGACATTCATGCCATGCGTCACCGCGTTTGACATACATCAGTGTGGCCCAAAACGGGAAACCCCCAACAGAAAGAACATCTTCCGAGTTCCTGGAAACCCATTTTAGGATCCGGAGAATTTACGCTTGTTTTTGCTCTTGTCTTTGTTGTTTGGGCACACAGGTAGCCCTACAAGCCTCGCCACATGGCGCAAGCACAGCCCGTCCGTTCCAGACCATCGCCATCGTTGGTAGTCACGTCGTAGCCAAACCTTGCCGTCGCCCGGTCCGGGGGGTCAATCACACCTCCACAACGCCAGGAGTGTTTTGTCGATTTCAAAAGACATTCGCTCGATCGCATCGGGCGCATCCTCTCTGGTGTTCTGCCTAAAGTCGTAGGTAAACTGACGTTGCCCCAGAGCAAGGCGTCACCAGGTTGACAGCGAGCACTGATCTCTTCGCATCAACGGGGCAGCATCGGGATCCAGGAAAGGAAGATATTAGGGGGGGGTCAAACGGCATAGTCGTGTTTGGGTGGTTTTCGTTGAGGATCGAACGTCGTTTTATTTAATGTAAATTTATAGAAAATAAATTAAAATTCTATTGACAAAAAACAATTCTACAACTTAAATAAACAAGTGGAAGGAATTATACTTAAAAAGTTCACTCACACTTCGTTCAAGAGCTCAACGCAAACATCGAGAGTCAAATACCAAACAACACGACACGGACAATGATTCATTATGACAACAATAATGGCGAACAGGACCTGCGTTGCGACGTCCGAGACTGCATTTCTATAACCCCTGGCATCTGGTTTACATTTCCCCACACTTTAACACGTCCCCGATCGATATTGCAACCCACAACCCACGGCCTTTTTCATGTCGTTTGTCTCTGCATCCTCTCCCTCTTCTCTCCCCGGTCTTCTCCCCAGTCTTCTTCTCCACGCCTTGGCTTCTTCTCCCGCTCGTTCCATTGCATTTCTTTGTCCCTGCATGCCCGGAACGGCAACCTTCCTTGTCTCGTCATCTGTTTGTCGTCATCCGCCCACCTGCACGTCCACCTTCATCTCACGTTGTCATCGTCCCTGGCCCCTGCATGTGTTCTTCGCCGTCGGTTTCCCCCAAACGTAGTGTCATGCAGGAAACGACACGAAATGTCTTGAAAATGGACGCCTTGACACGCGAGACGGCATGGATTGATGCATGCCATCTCATCTGATACCGTGCGTTTTCGCCGTGCCAGGACACAGACGTCCTGCTCCCTGCATGGCGGTTTCGGCAACTTGCTCTTCAACACGCTCACATCTTGAGGACAGCATGCCCAGTCAGACACATGGGACGGGCAGGGAAGGAGCCGGCGCGTCTGCTGCTTCTAGAAGTTTCAAAGTTTGCAAAGGATGAGAAAAGTTCAGATTCGGTCTTGTACGTCTAAAGTGATGCTGCCATAAACAAATGTTTTGTAGGTGTAGTGTGGGAAACACTGCATCGATCCAAAACGACACAGAAAAAGGGTAAATGGGGTAGTGGCGAGAAGGAGAGGGAACAGGAGAGGGTATCAAAAGGCGTCGTAGAGTGTAGTGTCCCTTGCTCTATGTTTTGGTGCTGTCTGTCCCGAGTTCCAGAAGTCATTACATCCGTATCCTCGTCTGTCGCATGTCTTGTGACAAATGCTCCCATGATATAACACAAGTAAAGGAAAGGAAGAAGGGAAAGAAAAGGAAGGTGAAAAATGAAATAATGACAAGGCACGCAAGAGCTTGCAAAAAATGAGATAAGAAGAAATGACATAAGACATAAAACGACATCAATGAATGGCGTAAAAAACGTAACGTAAACTTGCGTGAATATAAAGGTTGAAAATGAAGAGAATCATTTCATCGTCCGGATCGTGGTCCTCGTCTAGTTGGTGGTTCATCTCCCCTTTTTGAGTCTTCATCTCGCTTCACCTCGCTTCACTTTTTGCCAGGCAAGGGCCCCTTGCCCCAGCCACCTGACGACTTGCCGCCTCCTGCCGACGACTTGTTGGCAGGTGATGATGCTGCTTGCGTGGACGTACTGTGTGTGGATGATGCAGTGTGTGCGGCCGTTGTCTTGGCATGTGCTGCTGCTGCCGTCGCGGCAGCCGACGGTGTGCTGCCCGCACTGGGTGCGGTACTCGCCGTCACTTTGGGGACAGTGTGGGCCGATGTGGACGTAGACGACGAGCCCGTCTTCCCATTCGACGACGTGGTCGTCGTTGCTGCCTCGGCCCCGCCGCCTCCTGTCGCCGCGGCCGCCTCCTTCTCGGCATCCAGCGCCGCCATCCGGGTCTTGTACTCCCGCGGCGTCTCAATCTCTCCGCTGGCCGTCGCCACGCCGTTGCGGCCCAGGCCGCCCGACCACAGCCCCCGCTTGCGCGCCTTGGCCTTGGCCTCGGCCACGCGGTACTGGGCCTCGCGGCCGCCAAACTCGGCGCCCGACTTGGCCTCGTAGCAGGTGGCTAGCCCGCGCTTGAGCATCTCGATGCCGACGTCGCGCTTGAAGAAGAAGAAGCGGCGGACGACGACGCGGGCGACAACGCGGTCGTACTGGTCGCGCCGGTACAAGTAGGCGCGCACGCGGCGGCCGAGCAGGTACTGGGTCAGAAAGTCGAGGGCCTCGCCGGAGTAGGGCTGGGCGGGACGGCCAAAGTGGGCGCCCTCGGGGGCGTCGACGCCAGCAATGCGAACGGGGATCTAAGTGGTCAGCGACTGGGACGGTGTAGTCGAAGCAAGGCAAAACCAAACTAAAGATAAAAATGAAAATAAAAATAAAAGCACACAAAAAACTGGGTGGACGGGCATCAAGTCTGGTTCCAATTTAGCCGGCCGTTTTGTTTTATCGTCATCTTCTTGTCGTTGGCTGTGTTTGTGGATTTTCTTGCTGCTCCCCGTTTGGTGACCCTGGACAGCAACATTCCTGGGTCGTTTATGGATCTTGCTTGATCTTGTTTCCTTTTTTGTCCTCTTCTTCAACCAGGTACACTTGTTCCTGTTCCGATCATCGAACACCAAACTCAGAGCACCGATCGTCAATCACCATATAGGCAAAATGCAGATGCGCACACCAAGCAAAACAAAAATAGACAAAACCACAAACGAATAGCAGCACACAACACACAACACCACACGTACTGTCTTGCCCTTCAGGTCTTTCCGGTACGCCGGCACCTTGCGCAGCCACCCCCACCCGGCCAGGCGCCCGCCCGGGGTGTGGAACAGGTGGAAGTTGTCGCCGTCGCCGACGCTCGTCACCTTGCCGAGCAGGCTGCGCTTGCGGAAGAAATTGGGCCGGATGTGGTTGGTGCTGGGGATGCGCCGCAGGTACGAGCGGTAGAACGCCGAGAAGCCCAGGGCCGCGGCCACGGCGAGGGCCGGCGGCAGCCAGACCTGCGGGTCGCGGTAGTGCTGCCAGTCGGTCTTGTTGAGGGAATCGGTCCAGGAGGTGAAGTTGGTCAGCGAGAGGTTGGCGGGAAAGGAGGACGAGGGCGGCGCGGGTTTTGGCGGGGGTATTGGCTCGGCATCTTTGCTGTCGTCCCGCCGTGACCAGCCTGGCCACCGCATGGCTGTGAGGGAGTAGAGGAGGAGGAGAGGAAGCGAGGAGGGGAGGCGGAGGAAAAGAAACAAAGATCAAGGAGTAGAGGCTCTATAACCAAGCTGGACGATGCCGAGTATTATGCGGTCAGGCCGCTGCTTGCGTGCTCCTTGTCTTTCGCCTGCGGTGGAGCGTCCGTTGACAAAGACCGTGCGAAAGTCGGGGTCCTGGAGTTGTCGAGCCTGGGGAGGCCTTTTCGTTCTCTTTTCGTCTCGCCTTTTTCGGCCGTCAAAAAAAGTGTCGAAAAAGCGACCACTATCGGCGCTTATCGCTGCGGCGTTCCTTTTTGACCGCTGTAAAATGCCAAAATGGCACTAAAAGAGCGATAAATCGGCGGGCACCAAAAGCTTGTGCTTCCCCCTCGGACCCGCCACCGACTTTATTTGACAGCAGCCGCACGATGGAGCTGTTCTGCTACTGCGTGTAAACGACTCCGAGCTGTTATTCGTATTGATAGAGAACTTTATTTTGAAGCGCAATTGACGCAATTGAGCAACTGGGCAGTGGAGTGACTGTACATCGCACATCGTTTATGTGAATATACATTTGATTAATTGCATAATCACGTAAGGAGTGCCTGGACACGACGGCGGCCGCCAAAAAGAACACCGTTATCGTCCTCTCATCATACGTAACAATCAAACGCATAAACATGTTGAAAGCTAGTGTGCATTTTATTTTTGTAGACGTTGACCGCCGCTCGTGGGAACGACCGTCTCGCCGCCTCCAGAACAACTCCGCAAAGCACATCGACAAAGTACAAAGCGTAAAGTACCCGATCGCCAGCAAGCATGCCCCAGAATACTCGCTCCTTCTCTTCCGTTGTGTCTTGCGTCTCTCCGTGCTGCGGGCCCCGCCTACTGCGCCTTGAATGTACGGCCGCTGGCCGTCTTGCGCTCCTTCTCCTCGCTGTCCGGCCGGGCTCTCCGCAGGACTGGCATTGTTAGTACGGCTGCGCAACGGATGGATGATTGACCTGTTTGATTTGTCTCTTCATGGGGGGGACAGAAAACTCACCCTGCAAAAAGTCGGCTGTCCGCCTCCGCATCCGCGAGTGGATGTACGCCTTGGACGCCTTGATGTGGTAGTGGAAGTAGTCCCGGAACGTCTGGATGTGCGAGATGATCTCGGGCATGCGCTGCGGCGTCAGGTGGCGCGGGAACAGCACAAACGTCACGTAGCCGATGTCGCCCGTGTTCCGGACGCCCGGAAAGCCCTGCAGCTCCAGCGGTGGTTCGGTGCGGAACAGCACCTGCGGCGCGTTCTGGATGGCGCGCCGGCGCGCGTCGACAAACTCCTGGATAAACACCTTGCCAAACACGCGGTCCGTCTCCTCGCGGAAGACGGTCGAGAAGATGACGGTCACGCGGTCGTGGCTCGCCTTGCAGTAGATGGCCTCCTCCTCGCGGTAGTGGACCGCCATGACCACGTTGCCATCCACGCCCCGCGGCGCCTCCTCCGACGTGTACTTGGACGCGGCCTCCCTGAGCCGGTAGTACTCGGCATACGCGGCCTCAAACGGCGCCGCCATCATGTTGCGCTTGAGCAGCGCAATCTTGGTGACGAGCGCCTCGCGCGCCTCGGGCTCGGCCGGCAGCCGCTCGAGGTCGACGACAATCGAAAACTGGAAGCCCGGCTCCGGCGCGACAATGTAGTCGCCGTACTCGCGCTGCAGCACAGCCTCGGCGCCGTAATTGACGAGGTCGTCGTAGCAGCGCAGCTGGATCGAAATCTGGATCTTGGTCTTGGACTCGGGCGTGGAGATGTGGAAGAGGACGCCGTCAAAGTCGGAGACCGTCTGGTCGATGGAGACGGGGGGCGCTCTGCGTGTGTGTTAGCAACAGCAGATATGGACAACATACGCCAATGGCACGAGAACGACGACATTGCGGTAGCACCGTCAACGTTACGAGACCATCGCCGGCCGCTTACCCTGAGAAACGCTCCGTCAACACATTCTGAATCAGCACGTTCTGGAAGTCGAGCAGCAACATCCTGGCGGTGGGCGGCAGTAGCCAGGTCGCTGTAGATGAAGAGGTGTTTTGTTGAAGGGTGGGAAAGGGTCATCAGTCGACGGTCCAAACCAATGGTGCCTCGTAGCAAGAGACAGTCGTCGTCAACTGCAGCGACGGCGGGCGCGGAGTAGGGCGGGGCGCTTCCCCCCAGGCAAAGCGTTTGGTGGCTTGGATCGCTGACGCTCGTTGCCTGTAGCTGCACGTGACACGTGTGCCCCTCGATGGGTCCACTTTACGGCGAGCAGCCCAAAGCGGAAAGGGCGATTATGCTGCGTCCTTCTTGCCGCTAACAATCCTTATCGTTATCGGCCAAAAAAAGTTGACGGGCAGAGAAGGCGCAAACAAAACAGAAAACGTACGAAAACGTGCAGGTGGTCTTTCGCCCCGACAGCTTTCACGACAGACTGCGAGCCATTGAACTGCCACCATGGTCAAGTCATATTTGTATGTATACCCTGGTACACCAGCGTGCTTGCTATTTCTTGCTTGCTAACGTCACGCTCTGTCTGCAGAAAATTCGAGCCGGCTCGGTCCTTTGGCGTCGTCGCCTCGGGTACCTCCAACCTCCTCTGGGCCGGCCATTCCTCGACCTCCTTCACCTCGACCTCGGCAGCCTCCACGACCACCGGCAGCGGCCATGCCATTGTCGCCGCCAACGAGGACGTTTTGGTCTGGGACATGAAAAAGGGCGAGCTCCTGAGCCGCTGGCACGACGACAAGAACACGTCGCAGGTCACCGCCCTGGCCGCCAGCCGCGCCGACCGCGATGTGGTCGCCGTCGGCTACGAGGACGGCAGCGTGCGGTTGTGGGACCGGCGCATGGCTACGGTCATGGTGAACTTCAACGGCCACCGATCGGCTGTGACGCACCTGGCCTTTGACGGCGCGGGCGTGCGGCTGGCGAGTGGCTCCAAGGACACGGACGTGATTGTGTGGGACCTGGTGGCAGAGACGGGGCTGTACAAGCTGCGCGGGCACAAGGACCAGATTACGGGGCTGGCGTTTGCCGAGCCGTCGCTTCCTGTGGGTGGTGACGGCGAAGACGAAGGCGACGGCGCCGACGTCGTTGCCGACACACCGGCCGGCGACGGCTTTTTAATTACGACCTCCAAGGACTCGCTCATCAAACTCTGGGACCTGTCATCGCGCCACTGCATCGAGACACACGTTGCGCAGACCAACGGCGAATGCTGGGCGCTGGGCGTGTCGGCTGATCTGTCGGGGTGCGTCACAGCGGGCAACGACGGCGAGCTGCAGGTGTGGACACTCGATGCCGCCGGCCTGGCTGCATCGACACAACAAGTCGATGCTCTGGCGACGACAAAAAGCACAACCAACGCAGAACCAACGTCCCCTCAAACCTTCCTCACATCTCGCGGCACGCTGCACCGGCACGGCAAGGACCGCACAGTCGAGATCCTGTTCCACCCTCGGCACGACTTTTTCGCCGTGCACGGCGTCGAGAAGGCTGTCGAGATCTGGCGGATACGGTCGGACGCGGAGATTAAGCGCGCGCTGGTTCGCAAGCGGCGGCGGCGGCGGGAGAGGCAGGGCAAGGTGGAGAAGGGCGCCGACACAAACGTGGATGCGGAAGACGACGAGAGCCTCATCGACACGTCCCAGGCAGACGTGGGCGAGATCTTTGTGCAGCACGTGATTGTGCGGACGGGCGGCAAAGTGCGGTCGGTGGACTGGGCGGCCGGGGCCGCCCCGGGCGGCGGCAGCAAAAAGGACCTGCAGATGCTGGTGGGCACGACCAACAACCTGCTGGAGCTGTACACCGTGTCCACGAAAAAGGACCGCGTTTCCAAGCAGGCCAAGAAGGACAAGGAGGAGCCCCCCGAGTACGGCCGCGCGCTGGCGGTCGAGCTGCCGGGCCACCGCACCGACGTGCGCTCTATTTCCCTGAGCTCGGACGACAAGATGCTGGCCACGGCGGCCAACGGCAGCCTCAAGATCTGGAACGTGCGGACGCAGTCGTGCATCCGCACATTCGAGTGCGGCTACGCGCTGTGCTGCGCGTTTTTGCCGGGCGACAAGGTGGTGCTGGTGGGCACCAAGACCGGCGCGCTCGAGCTCTTTGACGTGGCGTCGGCGGCCCTCCTGGAGACGGTCGAGAACGCCCACGACAACGGCGCGGCCATCTGGTCGCTGCAGGTGCACCCGGACGGGCGGTCGGTGGTGACGGGCAGCGCCGACAAGACGGTCAAGTTTTGGGACTTTCGCATCGTGCAGGAGCCGGTGCTGGGCACGACGCGCACGACGCCCCGGCTCAAGCTGGTGCAGACGCGCCTGCTCAAGCTGACAGACGACGTGCTGAGCGTGCGGTTCTCGCCCGACGCCAGGCTGCTGGCGGTTGCGCTGCTGGACAACACGGTCAAGGTGTTCTTTGTGGACTCGCTGAAGCTGTACCTCAACCTGTACGGGCACAAGCTGCCCGTGCTGAGCATGGACATCTCCTACGACAGCAAGCTGATTGTGACGAGCTCGGCCGACAAGAACGTCAAGATCTGGGGCCTGGATTTCGGCGACTGCCACCGCTCCCTGTTTGCGCACCAGGACAGCATCCTGCAGGTGGCCTTTGTGCCGCACAACCAGGACGGCAACGGCCACCACTTTTTCAGCTGCGGCAAGGACCGCGCGGTCAAGTACTGGGACGGCGACAAGTTTGAGCAGATCCAGCGGCTCGACGGGCACTTTGGCGAGATCTGGGCGCTGGCCGTGAGCCACGGCGGCCGCTTTGTGGTGACGGCCAGCCACGACAAGAGCATCCGCGTCTGGGACGAGACGGACGAGCAGATTTTCCTGGAGGAGGAGCGCGAGCGCGAGATTGAGCAGCTGTACGAGAGCACGCTGGCGACGTCGCTGGACCGCGCGGACGCGGACGAGGATCCGGAAGAGCGCGACCGCGAGGGCCAGCTGGGCCAGCAGGTGGGCGCGGCGTCCAAGCAGACGGTGGAGACGCTGATGGCGGGCGAGCGCATTGCCGAGGCGCTGGAGCTGGGCCTCGCGGACCTGAATCTGCTCAAGGAGTGGGACGAGGCCAAGGCGCGGGCCCTCGCTGGCGAAGGCGGCGGAGGATCGATCGCGCCGCCGCAGCGCCACATTGTGTTTGTCGCCCAAGGCAACCTCTCCGCCGAGCAGTACGTCCTCGGCGTGCTCGCCAAGATCCCCGCGGCCGCGCTGCACGACGCGCTGCTGGTGCTGCCGTTTGCGCAGGTGCCCGCCCTCTTTACGTTTCTGGAGCGGTTCGCGCGCCAGGGCCTCAACATGCCCCTGACCTGCCGCGTGCTCTTCTTCATGCTCAAGACGCACCACCGCCAGATTGTGGCCAGCCGCACGATGCGGGCCATGCTCGACACGCTGCGGGCCAGCCTGCGCGGGGCGCTGCAGCAGCAAAAGGACCAGATGGGCCACAACATGGCGGCGCTGCGGGTGGTGGGGAGTGCGGTGGCGGACCAGAGCGTCAAGACGTATGTGGACGACACGTGGGACGCGGCGGAGGCGGCGGCGGCGGCCACGGGCGCGGGCAAGCGCAAGCGGACGTTTGTCCAGGTGGCATGAGGGCAAAGTGTACGGGCCGCTACCGTGTTGGTCTCATTTACAAGTGGCTGCAATCATTTATCATTTATCGTTTGTCATGTGTCTTGTTCCATTGCCTGTAGACTAGAATGGTGTTTGCAGTTTATTCATTGGGAAATGCCATTTGCTTTGGCTGTACCCTCGGGCGTCTCTCCTCTTGCGTCTGTCTTGTGCTGAATGCTGTCCAATGCTGTCCAATGCCGTCTTGTCGTCCGATGTTGACGGCCTCGCCGTTGGGGTTGCACAAAGGACCCTGAACGTCGGCCCGCACGGAAGGCTAGCCCGTCAGCCGTCGATGCCCACTGTACAGAAGTATGACAGCACATTTGTACGACGGCCACAAACCGACCGTCTGTCAGCAAGGCAAGATCGTCGCGACCGAACGTGTGTCGTATGTCAGTGTACAACTTACTGTGTAATTAATTACGACATCCCCCTCTGTCAATAGCGCTTCATGCAGCACCCTTGTCCTGGTGCAGCTGCTTGCCCCTTACCCTCACATAGCCGCTCAAGTCCACGACCGCATCCATCGAGCAGAAAGCCCGCACAACAGCGTCGCATTGCAGGCAGACGCCTTCCCAAATGGGCAAATCACGTCAAAGCACACTTATGTGCAGAGTTTGGCGCATGCGCAATGCCTCGCACGATGTAGAGCTAGGCAGCTTCTGTCGAGGGACCGTGAAGACAGCTGCAAGTTGTGTGCGTTGACTTTACGAATTACTTGTGCCATGTATTACTGGGAGACGGGCGCTGGTGCCTACAGTCATAGCAAGTGAGTTTGGCTCTCTCCGGTGGAAACGGCAGACGTTACGGCAATCGAACAGGTTGGCATCGTTTGCACTATGTTATTTACCGGGGCTCATTATGTCTTCTCAATTGGAGTCGTCTCCATCGGTTCGGTTCGGTGGAGCTGGTTGCTGTTGTTGTCCAACAATCCCCTCTTTTCCTTTTTATCTATGAGCTCTTCCACCTCCACACGCCTAAGATACGCTTTTCTCCTTATTGTCCCTAGTGTTCTTTCCCTTGGCTGGCTCTGCTTAGCAGAGACTTACATAAAGACGGGACAGACAAGAGTCGTCGAACCAGCCAAGCTGCGGGGAATCTTCACAGCCGGGGGTCGTCCATGCTGGTTGTCAAATTCGACGGATCGGAGGACGTCTTTTTTCAAGTCATCTTGCAGAGCGCCTCCCCAATTGTGCAACAAGCCGTCAATGTTGTATGACAGTATTCTCCGGACCATAAACAACACGCATACTGCCCTACCGATGAAAAGGAAACGGCATCCTGTCACTCGCGACAATACGTATTGACACGGTAATGTGAGATGGCGTCGATGGCATGTATCCTAGAGCCTGGGCTGGCCACTAGACCGTACGCATCTACTCCACGCCTCCGCAAATCTCCACAGTCTTTCAGCCCCTTCTCTTAGTCTCTTCGGCACTCGTGTGGACGACAAGAAAGAACGTCGAGAGATGAGAGACAATGTTGCCATACCAGCCTTTCGGCTCCGTCGCCCCAAACTGGGCGTTCCGTATGTTTGGACGACGGCACCAGTTGTTTTACGTGGGGTTGGAGACAGTGTAAATTAGACGGTCAAACCTGGCCAAAACGAAAGCGATACTCATGGCCCCGGAAGCCACCACCCGGGATGCCCTTTCTATTGAAATCATACCCTGCTTCAGCTTCCGTGCAGCATTTGCAATTTTACAGGCCTGCATATGACATGCATTGCACTCCTCATCGTCCGCTCTCGACTGCTCTGTCTTCAAACAGCCTACCACACCTGGCGTACCACTCCTGGTGTATCGCTCCTGGCCTACCACACCTGGCCGGTTCCTGTGGTCTGCGTTCCGTCTCCTCCATGTGCACTCTGCGCTCTGTGCGGAGCAAATAGCAGCCAGCTCGAGACGCTCAGGGACCGTGTCTCCCCTCGTCGGTGTCGTAATTGTAGTCTTTTCCTCGTCTGCTGTTCGCGGCGGTCCAGACCCAACTCCAAATCCAAACCGATGCAAGCACATACATATGTGCATATCGTATATAATCTCGCGATGCGCCTTTTTCTGTCGTGTTCTTTGTAGTCTTGCATAGTCCTCTCTGTCCATGCTGTGTGTATATGTGTCGCTATTGCCTCGTGTTGTCTGTTCGTCACTATTCTCGTTCGGCGCCATCGTCTCTCCTTCGCTTCCATCCACCCTATTTCCTATTCCCCATCGCCGGCCCCAAGACCATCGCACCAACACGCCAGTCCCCTCACGCGGATAAACATCCCGCGGCAAGGCTCACAGAGGTAGTACCTTTTTCTCTGGAAAAATAAGTCTGTTGTTTCTAAATTCTCGTCACTTTCTTTCCTATTTGTTTTCTACTCCGTAGCTTTTCGTCCTCTGCATCGTCACAGAACTCGGCAAGTTCCGACAATACGACGAGACTGCACAAGTTCTCGAAATATCCATCTCCCGCAACATGGCCGACTTTACACTCAAGGATGCCAACGTCGAGAATCTGCGGCCGCTCAAGGTCCGCGTCATCGGCGCCGGCTACTCTGGCATCGTGGCCGCTATTCGGTAGGGCAACATGCCTCACGAACAATCTGAATCGAAACACACGACTGACAACAAACAACAAACGACAGGATACCTCAACGGCTGCGCAATGTTGACCTCGTCGTCTACGAAAAGGAAGAGGGCATCGGCGGTGTCTGGTGGGTAAACAAGTACCCGGGCATTGCCTGTGACATTCCTGGTAAGGCCCTTTTCTTCCCAAAGACTGACCTGCGTCTGTGTCCGCCGCTCACACAGCCTTCTGAACGCTCTCTGCAGCCCACTCGTACCAATACACATTCAACCCCAACCCCAACTGGTCCTCCCTCTACGCCCCCGGCAAGGAGATCCAGGCGTACCTGCAGTCCACGGCCGAGCGCTTCGGCGCCACCCGCTTCATCAAGACCCAGCACAAGCTCACGAGCGCCGCCTGGGATGCCGCCACCAAGGAGTGGGTGCTGCAGGTGACCAACCTGGCGACGGGCACCGCCTTTGAGGAGCGCTGCAACATTCTGATCACCGCGCGCGGCCAGCTGAGCAACATCAACTGGCCCGACCTCGACGGCCTCGACACGTTCAAGGGCAAGATCATGCACTCGGCCGCCTGGGACACCGACTACGACTTCACCGGCAAGCGCGTCGCCGTCATTGGCAACGGCTCATCGAGCATCCAGATCGTGCCGAGCCTGCAAAAGGTCGCCGGCACCGACCTCAAGGTGTTTATGCGCAGCAAGACCTGGATCTCCTCGCGCTTTGGCGACAATGCCATGGTCCAGCTGGGGCTGGATCCCAACGACGTAGACTGTATGTCCCTCCTCCCAACGCGTATCCTGCCGGCCTACCTAGCTAACGAATGCAACGACGGCAGTCCCCCCCGAACGCCGTGCCGAGTGGGCCGCCGACAAGGACGCCTACTTCAAGCTCCGCAAGGCCTTTGAGACGGACGGCAACGCCATCCACGACTCCACCATCCTCGGCACCGACATGCAGAAGCTGTTCCAGGGCCTCTTCCGCAGCGGCATGCAGGAGCGCCTCAAGGCGCGCCCGGACCTGTTTGACCTCATTGTGCCCGACTTTGCCCCCGGCTGCCGCCGCCTGACGCCCGGCAAGGGCTATCTCGAAGCCCTCATGGCCCCCAACGTCGAGGTCCTGCCCGAGGCCGTCGCCGGCGTCGACGCCACCGGCGTGCGGACCGCCGGGGGCCGCCACCTGGACGTCGACGTCATTGTCTGCGCCACGGGCTTCAAGGTCTCGGAACCGCCGCCGTTCTCGGTGCGCGGCCGCGACGGCCGCGAGCTGCAGGACCGCTGGGCCGCGCGCCCCGAGTCGTACCTGTCGGTCGCCGTCGACGGCTTCCCCAACTACCTCATGATGTTCGGGCCCAACTCCGCCATCGGCTTCGGCAGCCTCACCAAGATCTTGGAGGCCGAGTGCGACTACATTGTCCAGGTCCTGCGCAAGGTCCAGCGCGAGGACTACGCCACCATCGAGCCCAAAAAACAGCGCGTCGACGACTTCACCCAGTACATTGGCGCCTACTTTGCCAACACCGTCTACATGGACAACTGCCGCTCGTGGTACCGCACGCAGGGCGGCACGGGCAACTGGATCTGCGGCCTGTGGCCCGGGTCGACGGTGCACGCCCTCGAGGCGCTGCGCGCCCCGCGCTGGGAAGACTTTGACTACGAGAGCGTCGACGGCCCCCAGGCCAACGGCATGCGCTGGCTCGGCAACGGCCGCAGCGTGACGCAGGAGCCCGGCGGCGACCCGTCGTGGTACATCAACCCCGAGTTTGTCGACACGCCCGTCGAGGGCCGTCCGGAGGACCAGCCCGAGTACAAGGTGCGGCCGTGGCTGTACTGAGCGAAGCGGTGGGCGACGAGTCGAGTTGCGTAGATCTGCTTCGTTAGAATAGGAAATTTATCATGTTCGTTAATATGCAAAACGTGTCCAACGTATCCGAAAGAGCGTCATCAAAGTACCGTCGAACATCCAATGTCGACGTCGGTGAAAAAACAGAAATGACAATGATATTTGACTATGGCACACAAAAAAGACTAGGTACAAAAGGGAAAGGATGTCGCGGCCTCGTGGTGGGTGTCGCGGATTGGTTCTTGTCGGGTCCTGCTTTTCCCTCAAGGGTTGTCTTTTTCTATTTCAATAAGAATTTTTGTTCGTAGAGGTTGGCGTGAGGTAAGGGCCCGGGTTCAGACGTGCGTGTTGCTGACAGTCAAAACCGAGACCGTCGTTGGTCGTCGATTCAACGGATGCCGTTGACAATTTACTGCTTGGCAGCAGCAATCTCTGTTGGGGGTTGAAGTTAGAAATGATCAAAATCAAAAATGCACAAAATGGGATCACAGCAGGCGGAATGGGGTCGACGACAGTAGACGACCGCCTTTTGCCATCGATCCCATGCCGTCGCCAAGGACAGGGGCCAAGAACGTACTCTCAACATCCGCAACGGCCTGCTGCAGAATCTGCTGCAGCGACTTGGGGTTCTCCAGCTCCTTCTTGACCTTGGCAATGACGCTCTCGGCCAGCTCGCGCTGCTGGCGCTGCTTGACCTGGCTCTCGTACCGCACCCACGAGTCCAGCACCGACTTGGCCTCGGCCGCAATCGCCGTCTTCTGCTCCAGCTCAAACGCCTGCGCCTCCAGCGTCGCCGTCTCCTTGGACACGGCAAACAGACTCTTGGTAATGTCCACCACGCCCGACATCTGCTGCACGTCCGCGATGCGCGTCTTGACCGCCTGCGAGTGGTCCGCGCGCGCCGCGTTCAGGATGCCGCGGATCTTCTCGTTCTGCGACTCCGCCCACGACTTGTACAGCGGGCCGCCGTACTTGATGAGGCCCGCCCAGACGCTGATCAGGCAGAAGGCGACCACCGTCTCCTCGTTGACGACGTAGTACTCGTTGCTCAGCGCGTAGATGGACAGGCCGGCCGCCGACGACAGGATGGCCGACTTGGAGATGAGCGAGTTGCCGGGGAGCGCGTCGAGGATGCTCGATGCCTTGGCCTTGGGGTCCTCGGTCGGGACGGACGACGACGACGACGGGGTGGTCGACGACATGCGGACGCTGGTCGCCAGGGCCGGGAGTGCTGGGCGCGTAGACAGGGCCGGCCGCAGGCGGGCGAGGCCTGTGTTCCTCTGTTAGCTGTGGTGCTTATGTATGCAGTCGAGTGGAAACGCTGAAACGCCCCCTCAATTGACTCGGGCCCAACTCACCAGCCGCGTTTCTCGCCAAACGGGACGCCATTGCTGCTAGAAAAGAAAGGTCGGAGGAGAGGGAGAGGCGGATGCGACGGAGCGGTGATGCAGATCGGTCGCCGGTCGTGATGCGTGTGGTGGTAGGATGTTGCTCTGAAGAAACGTGAAATACCGGATGGAGCTCGGAAAAGGGAAAATGAGGTTTTTCGGAACAGGTCGCTAGCGGGAAATAATAGAAGGTCACGTGAAGCGCTGTTATGGTGCCGGAGGCCCTGGACAGCGCTTGTGTCGGGCCATCGGCAAAACGCGCTGGTTGGTCCACCTTAGCCAGGGGGCTGTATTATATAATGTGCACGTGACTCTCATTCGGACGGGGTCCACTAAAATTCAGAATCGCGATAAGACGATAACAAAAAAAGTTGAGTGAAAGCTTCACTGCTCTCTTGTCTCCTCTCTCCTCAGACAACAGGACGTTCCGCCCACGCACACACGATGCCTGCTGCTACGACAACCAAGGCGGCAGCAGCTGCCAAGCGGAAACGCAGCACCAAGACCGATGCACCGCGAAAACGGTCACGGTCGGAAAACGGCAGCGACGACGAGAGCAGCGACAACGGCGAAACCGATGTCCAAGAACGCATTCTGCTGCTGGAAGGCCAAATCGGCGAGTCCAAGAAGCACTACAACAATATTGTAGAGCTGCTTGAGATTGCAAAGCAGAGGGGTGAGAAAGATGAGGACAATGAAGACAACGATGAAGACGACGAAGACGACCAGGCAGAGGAGGAAGAGCAAAGTCCGGCCCTGGCGGCTGCCGTTGCACTTTGCCGCGTGTTCATGCGTCTGCTGGCAGGGGGCAGCCTCAACCTGAACCGCAGCATGTCCGACAAGGAGGTGGTTGTCGTTCGGTGGCTCAAGGACCGGCTGGCCGAGTACGAGGCGGTGTTGTTGGGCTTGTTGGGTGGCCGCTCCGGCGACGCGGCGTCGACGGCGCTCACGCTCTCCATGCGTCTGCTGCAAGCCCAAGGCCAGTCACGACGGAAGAAGGCTGGCGGGCCCGGCGACGAGGAGACGTACGTCTTCCCGCAGCCGTTCCTGACGGCCATTGTGCGCGGCCTCGTCCTGGCACCGGCCACGCTCGACGCTGCGACGGCGGAGAACCTGGCCGACGAGTTTGTCGAGACGTACGTCGGCGAGTACTGCGACGTGCAGTTCTACACGTTCAAGGCGGTGTCGGCCGTGCTCGCCGACATGGGCCCCGACAGCCCCGAGCGCAACACGGCCGCACACGGCGCGTTCTACCTGCTCTCGCTGCTCGACGACGTGCCGGCCACGAGCGACGAGCTGGCGACGTTCTACATCAACCCGCCGCCGCACAAGCGCAGCCATGCGCTCTACTCGGTCGCCAAGCACCGCAAGCAGGCGCAGGACGCGTGGCTGGCGGTGCTCCAGACAGCCACGTCGGTCTCGTCATCGACGGACGGCAAGACGCTCCGCAAGCGCGCGCTCGCCATCTCGTCCACGGTGATTGCGCCCTGGTTTGCGCAGCCCGAGATGATGCTCGACTTTTTGACCGACTGCTACGACGCCGGCGGCTCGACGTCGCTGCTCGCGCTCTCGGGCCTCTACTACCTGATCCAGCAGCGCAACGTCGACTACCCGGCCTTTTTCCCCAAGCTCTACTCGCTACTCGACGCCGAGCTAATGCACTCCAAGCACCGCGCGCGCTTCTTCCGCCTGCTCGACACCTTCTTGGCGTCCACGCACCTGCCCGTCCAGATGGTCGCCAGCTTCATCAAGCGTCTCGCCCGTCTGTGCCTGCACGCGCCGCCCAGCGCCATCGTCAGCGTCGTGCCCTGGATCTACAACATGCTCAAGACGCACCCGCAGTGCACCTTTATGATCCACCGCGTGCCGCGCACCCCCGAGGCGCGCGCCCGGCTGGCCGACGAGGGCATGGCCGACCCGTTCCGGCCGCTCGAGCGCGACCCCATGGAGACGCGCGCCATCGACAGCTGCCTCTGGGAGGTGGTCCAGCTGCAGAGCCACTACCACCCCAACGTGGCGACGATTGCCAAGATCCTGGCGGAGCCGTTTACCAAGCAGGCCTACAACGTCGAAGACTTTTTCGACCACTCGTACCAGAGCATGCTCGAGGCCGAGTTTGGCAAGGCGGTCCGCAAGACGCCCGTGGTGGAGTTTCAGATCCCCAAGTGCATCTTTCTGCCGCACGACAGGCCGGCGCCAGAGGGTGCGGACAGCCAACCCGGCGTCGCAGAGGATGCGCTGCTGGTGAAGCTGTGGGACTTTGCGTGAGTGCGACGCAGGCGTACGAATGACCAAAGGAGAGGAAAAGGGAAAGGGAAAGGCAAAGGGAAAGGCAAAGGGAAAGGGCTCTTCCCGAAACAGCCAGGTTGCAAGCAACAAACCTTTGACCTCTGTACACCAGTCCAACCGAGCACCAACACACACTTACACACGAGCACCAAACACAGGACACAAATTAGGACCGGCCGCATCACACTGTAGCACCTCCCTTGCCTCTTCCTTTGTTCTTCCTTTGTCCTTTCTTCGTTGTCATTCGCTTCCCTTTTGTACGCGCATTCTCCCCGCTTCTGTACAACCCTTCAGAGAGGATCGTGTGCTGCGTTTGGATACGCGTGCAGGAGGCGGGGGAAGGACAGAGTGGGAGAAAGTGGATGGATGCGACAGAAAGGCAAGGTCACAGCGGAATCAACGGCCATGGCGATGTCGACAATGACCCAAAAAAAAAAAAAAAACAACCCAAAGCAGGCACCAGGTAATCAACATCTAGACGGCTCAGTCTGTCGTCCCTCGTCGTCACGTCCTCTCCATCCTGCTCGTGCTTTGTGCTGCCGTGCCTCCGACGGCATCTCGGGAACGAGACGAGACAACGACTACAGTATGAGTGGCATGAGACAAGACACTTTCTCTTCCTCTCCTCGTGTGCTTCATGTCGTGGGTCGGCGTCAAATTAGAGGTGATGGGCCTTTATGTCTTTTGTTTTTGCCTGTGTCCTGCTTCGCGGTATGACGTTCCGCGAGATGGGGGAAGAAACAAAACGACGACGGGAGGTCGGGTTCACGAGTCGATATGATGAGAGTGAAGAGGCACTAAACACAGCATCCGCAGTGTCCCGTATTCTATAAATCATTGAACAGCATGCAGCGAGCAATACCAGGCGTTTATTTTTCGTCATATTTGACGTTTATCTTCTTGTTCGTGTTATCTTGAGATACTATCCTGCGTTTTCGAATCCTCGTATCTGACTCCATTCCGTCTTTTCATCGTTCATCCTCGTTTACGTCCTCATCCTCCTTTGTGTCCTCGCTGTATTGTTCGTAATTTTGTCATTGCGTTGTTTCCCTTCTTCTCCTCTTCTTTCTTCTTGTCTCCCTCTCCCTGGAGCTACCACCCCCTTGACGCAATCTATCTGAGGGGAAACCAACATGGTCCTGTTGTGCAACCAGCCTTCTTGTCCGACAATGTGAGAAGGCAGAGATTCATATAAGACATACGCACTACGACCGGAGACGTCCACAAAGACATAAAGCAGACGCCACCACATGCACATCCTTCAGACACCGGCGGATTGACTGTTTCAGGGCATCCGAGACGTGCAGGCCGCTATGTGCAGCCTCCGGGCTTGCTGTCCCTAGCCCTTCCGGACGGGTGACAGCATGGAAACGCATTGAATCGCTGCGAGACACCATTTCCTCCTTATGGAGATTCCAAAGCGGGGATGTGCCTGTCAAAAGAAGGACTGCACAGCATGGGTGTGTAGCGAGGCGGCTGCATTGCAGAGGCCTTGGAATTGCGGGAAGACGACGCGGAGATGTTGCTATCGGCATACTCGTTTTCTGCTTCACTGAAATAGAAAAGGTCATCTGTAGACGACCATCACTGCACCACGAAAGGGGCGGACGCCTATGTGACCATTGCTAGTGTCCCCTCGCTTCGATTCCACACGTCCGATCACGACCAGGCATCTATATGTCCTCACGACGTTGTATATTGTCCCTCGGGGAACCTCCAGTCTGTGAAACGGGTGCAATATGCCGACGCCACGACAAGTATGAAGAACAGAATTCGCCGTACGGCTGCCACAGAAACCCAATCATCGCCGGCTGCGTGCATGATATCTTCAGTTTCACAACCGGCTGCAGAGGCCTATCGTGAGCCTAGAACGTGGGACGCAGATCGTGCATCGTATGGTGCCTGCTATTCTCGCAGAAAGAGTGCCCAACAGACGCAAGAGACAAGGCGAGAGAGTCTATGCGGCCCGCCTGGATGTGGTGATACGGCCTGTCTTGGTCTCTCTCTGACTGTGTACGAGCGTGCGAGCGTACGAGCGTGTACAATGACTGTAATCTTGCCCTGCTTTTCGTTCGGGCCCAACACCCGTCGATGTTCCAACCAGGCAGCAGATTGGGATAGACCTTTTGTGATTGTGTTCCAATAACTCTGTATCCTTGTGGCAACGTCTAGGCAGACTCCAAAAGACAAAAGAACAAAGAAGAGTATGCCGAGCCAAAGACGGATAGACCAACACGTCGTGCCCAACTATGGAGACGGCAGTTTCCATCGTGACCTGTTGAGTCATACTACAAGCTTCCTTAGGAGCAAAGTGAGGCGGCCAGGAGAATAATTTTTTGAGTGGGTTTAATTCTGTTTTTATTTTTATTTTTATTTTTTTACATTTGGGTTTCGATTTTACTTTTCATTTTAAACTTACGTATTTTTTGTCTCCAAAATGGTATCGATATACTTTGGTCGGAACCGAAATATATCGAATCTAAAACAAAAAGTACGGAAAATAGCCGGCAAGAGTCACTTGCTTCTACCGTCTTCTTTTCTTCCTTCTCAGCATGTTTGGTACACGTCGATGCAGGCACCGCATGCACCGCACGCGCAAGCGCCGGGCAGATGCTGGTGCAGATGCAAGTTACAGGTCCAGCGTGCAGCAGAACCGTATGCCTCCGTACACCGCAAAGACATCGCCTGGCTTGCAGCTGGGTTGGGATAAAATGTCTCGTCTTTGGCTTGCCCCTGCCTAAAATGCGATGCACGACGACCCCCAAAATACCAGAAAACTAAATAAAAATGAAACATGCTGGCATGCGTTGGAAGGGCGAGAACGAAATCGCAACTGGCGAGAATACCGGCTATGACCGGGGGCTTGCGTTGGTCGTTTTCAGTCGTATTACGTCTGCTTGTCGATCTGTCATTGTCGTAGCTTTTAAGGAACAAGGGTGTACATACGTGCCTCCCTGGTCCATCTGCATTCTAGGTGAGCCTGCACGCATTCGAACAGGAAATAGAAACTTCGTGATCTCCCGTAATCGTTCCATTGCTCTTCCGGGATGATGTTGTACTCTGCCAAACAGTGATATCGTGATATTCGACCAGGAACAAGCAACAAAAACGTCGAGTGAGCCTCTTTTTCTTACGGTGTGAGCTTTCGATTGCATTTTAATTTCCTCTGTTTTTCCCGAAATGGCAGGTTTGAAAGACAAACTAATATTTCCTCTTTTTTACTTCCTATTTCTTTTTCTTGTCTTTTCTTTTTCTTTTCCCTTTATTTTGCATGGAGTATTACGGGGTATTTGTATTTCTGTATTCCTCCCTTCACCGCATGTTTCGCTGCGCCCGTTGTCCGCGGAAGCGTACGCAAGCTACGCCGCACCAAATGAAACGAGAGACAGTAAAGTGAGAGAGACAGATAGGAGAGACAAAAGGCAGCCCTGTATGAACAACTATGGGGCTTGGGAATATGGAGCCTCATTCATTTTTGTCTTGTATTTCCCCAAATCGCATTTCTGTCACATTTACTCCGTCACGTCCATCTGCCATCCGATGGGGGGCAGCGGGGTGAAAATGACGAAACTCTATGACTTGCAAAGAGGATGATTGACAGCGAAAAAAAGGCGAGGAAAGAAAAGCAAGGAAGAGGGATGTCAGACAAAGTTGCGAAATATTGGACAAAGTAGCGGTGTCAAAGTCCACTCAGCCACAGCCACATTATACCTGAAAAGAGACAAGAAACGGACACTAAAGGCGATATCAGAGTCCTCATATAGCTGTCCGTTGTTTTTAGAAACAGGCCATTATTACACTACAATTGCCATTTTACTCTTTTTTTTTCCCTCTTTTTTTTCCAGCTGGTCATTGTGCCACATCGGCCTTCTTATCAAGAGAAGAAGTGGCTGGCCATGCTGCACCCCGGATCCAAGTAGATTTCGTTGCTCTCTGTTTCAAACTTTTCGGCCGTTCCCTGCTTCCGTGCCTTCTGAGATGCATATTTTGTGCCCTTAACGAGTCGATGTAGGTTGGTCGGAAAGAAGGGTCAGGAAAAACTGGGAAGAGCCTGTCCTGTTTGGCAAATCCAAGAAACGAGCTACTCAATTCAAAAACGAAAGAAAATGTTCCGATCCTCCGATCCTCGCTCTTCACGGCTTACGATGCTACTCCTTCACCATGATAGACACCGGATGCCCTCATCTTGGCTATTAATAGGTCACGTTTGGCTGCGGATGCTACTGCTCGATGCAGCATGATCCCGCGCTGCTTCTTGGGGGTTGCTTGGTTGCTTGGTTGCTTAAGACAGAGACAGCGGCAAGGCACACTCTGCAGAATGTCTGCAGCCACCTTGCAGAATGTCCAGTGTTTCAGTATTTGATATTGTCGATTTACCGGGAAGACGACAGAATGAGAAAACAGATCGACGGTGAAGAATGGCACAGACCCACAGACTTGGTCAAGCATGGAGTTGTCGACAAAAAGACATTGAAATGCTGAGTCTCTAAACGACCGACATCTTTTGACGTAAATTAATTGTTCTCTGAGGGGGCGGCGGATATCAATGTGCGTAATTGACAATGAAGAAACGGCGGAAATGTGCTTTGCACCAGACGGCTTTCACCTTGGTCCTGTTCTCTGCGTGCTATTTTGTCGTTGTTTGGCTACAATACATACCGTTTCCGAATGCTGGATATGCGGAGTGAGACCATTCGATTATAGATAAAGTGAGACTCGTCGTGATATTTCCGCCGCCGTTGAAGTCGAAAAGGGGGGCAATGAATGGGGCAAATAAGCTCATTCACCGTTGTCAACTTGTCGAACAAGACGATAGGATGCAAACATGCCACTGTCCTGTATGTGGCTCATACCATTCGGTATTCTTCTTTCTGCTGGCAGCCTTGGGAAAAAGAAACGACTCTTTTACAGTGAAGGTCTGCTCCGCCGAGGTGAGCAGCAGACCGACAGGACATGGACTATCGACAGGAGGTTTTGGCTCCCTCAATCCGCTCTACTCTTTCTTGTCTGCCTAGCCAAGTAGTATGAGAGCCGGGACTCCTTCGTTGCAATGTTTATCTTTGACGACGTGCAGTGAGCAAAGGCTGGATAAAGAAAACATCGATGAACACGGTGGACGTGCATGAATTTACCAAAACGAAGCAAGAAGCCGAGGACCCGAAACACGGTCAAAGAACGGTGTGCCCTCGTATCAAGATGGCTGAAAAGTAGTGCATCTCTTTCTATAGTGTGTGTCTCGTAAGGCGTCAGGGAAGGAACGGCGTAACAGGGCGAGAGTGGTCAGCACGAGAAAGGTGTGGTACGGATGTCACGAAGGGTGCGTTGCGAGACTGCTGTTGAACGTGCCCGCATCTCGATGCGCGGTACATTCTTTGTGCATATTGTGACATTGTGCATTCGTGCCTGACGGGCCGCGGCCTCCATTTGGGCAGTTCTGTTTCCGGGCAGTGGTTCGCCCCGTTTCGTTGACGTCGACGGTACTGGCTGGTCACATCGACGAGCCGATGCAGCACGCTGGTAGGTTGAAGCTGTCTTTCCGTTTATCTGGCCATCTTTGTTAGGTAGCTTTCGTCAAGATCCCTTGCAGCGTCGTTTCTTTCGTAGTGGTCGCCTTGCTTGGCCAGCACGGACAGTTTGCCGAAAGGGGCATGTTTACTTCCTCTTTTGGGTGGGAGGGAAGGAAGACGCGGTCGTAAAGGAGCCAAAATGACAAGCGGGCATATCAGTTATCACAGTGCAGCAGAGGGCAGAACAGGGGCAGCACGGGGGCAGCTTGTCGAACCAGACCAAATGGGAGGCAGAGAATGGTGGAAAGAGAGAAGGAGGGTGGGATAGGCTGCCCAGGTACGAACATAAAACGCGCAGGGTGTCGTTCGAAGGCCATGGTCGTCACCCGTGAGCCACCGCCCAGGAGGCACAAGCCACGGGCCACAAGCCACGGGCCCTCGGGATCAAGAACTGAGGCGAGGTAGGCTGCAAGGGATCCAAGACACGGATAATGGGGGAGTCAGCTCGGTTTGGGAAGGACCACTAAACGTCGAGAAGCGACACAAATGGCTGCACACCGCACTTTGGGGAGGGCGTCGTCACCATGTCCGATCCCCCGGCATAACGCTATTGCGGCCTAAGGGGTAATTCGTCGGAGTGTCAGGAGAGACAGAGAGCAGCGAGCGACCCTCTCGTTCGCATCGGGTTGGGTTTGTTCGGATTGGTGGGCATGAGCAGACCATTGCTAGCGGGTCGCCGAATATGCGGCCACCTGCAACCCAGGCCACTGCCTGGACCACTCACGATGCGGCAACTGGAAGGGCTTTTCTTGAACCGGGTGGACCGTCGCTGGCGGTGCAAGGAGAGGTAGGAGGGGAGAGAGGCAGAGCAGGAGACCAGCCGCCTCGTTTGTTTCTGTCCTGTCATTTTTGGGCCATATTTTTGTAGCACTTTCTTGCCTTCGGCTGTTGTCTCTCATTGCCGATATCAACGGCTTTCACTTCGGACTAGCGCATCTTCCCTGTTTGGGCGAAAGTCAACAAATCTGGGCCAGCTCGCGGTAAGGCCTTTCTTGGGCCAACGATCACATCTGCGGTAAGGCCGTGACTGCAAAGAGCAAGCACCAGTCCTACAAGCAGGCTGATTCGGTGGGCGGAAAGCATATCCATGTTGCTTTCGGTCTGCTAGGAACTGTTGAGGATCGGCCACATCAGGCTTTGGCAGTTGTTCGTGCCGAATCGGGACGACAGGAATCGAAGCCGAGACGGCGGACTGGCCAGGGCGAGATGAGGAATAAAAGAACAGTTGAAAAAAAGGGGGCAATGTGACGACGGTGCTGCCTTGACCTCGACACAAGAGCGGAAAGAACAGTAGGACAATCAAGAGGCCGTGACAGGAAAGTGCGAACTACGACGGCCAGCAGTGCCTGCTGTATCTGATTATTTGATGTCCGCGTCACGCTTGACGACTCACTAACAGAAGGAACGACCAAATCAACCCACTTTGGACTGTTCCTTCCGTCTTCGCTATTATCAAACTCGCTCCTTCTGTACATTCGTAGGCAGGCGCTGCTCTTTCTTTGTCGGCTTCTTAGCCGGCCGCGGCAGTTCCCTTTGTCAAAAATTTTTAGTGTCAATGTTTCTGGCCGAGCTTACGCATGTCACGAAGAAATGACAGGAACAGTGCACGGTTGCACTCAAAGCCTCCAAAACCACACTAAACTGGACTGGCGGCCGCTCAGTTCGGGCGGGACGCGGCGCGGGCAGTGGCGGCGGGAAGAGCGGAGCCGTTCGCATTCAGTACGAATGTACAACTGTATTTTGGCTGTTTTGGGCAGTGAAGAGAAACTCAAATCGACATGGGGAGATCAACCCAAAGTGACGGTTCGGTGCGCTACGACTGGCTGGGTGTCACTTCTAGGGGCTGACAGGGGCCTGGGCGAGGCCTCTCTCGGACCAACTACTTGACAACCAGGGCCAAGCTCCATGGAAGCATCACTCTTGGGAAGACTACGACATACTGAAGATCATTGTTCACGGGACATGACGCTCGTAAAGGTCGAGGCAGTCCTTCCCCAGAGGCGTCTTTCCTGTTGGGGGACAAGTACGAAATAGGGAGTAGAGGTAGGGGGATGGCCGCTGACCCCCTCGATCGGGTACCAACCCAAAAATAAAGAACGTTTTGGATGCAGACCATAGTCAATTTTTACGTTTAGAAGCAACCACTCACGTCGCGGGGGGTAGCCCCTAGACAAACGGACTGCAGAATATTATTTATTCCGAATAAAAATGGTAAAACACCCCCATTTCTGCCCAACGTCCCCCCTCCATGTGTGCCCCCCGTCTTGTTCGAACAGCCGTCCGTCGTCCGCTATCCAGTCGTTTGCACCGCCTTAAAATGACGACAGCCATACGAATCAGAGAAAAAAGGGTACGCGAAATGCCAGTAGCGCCCCCCTGTTGACGTTGGGCATCGTTTTGGGGGTCTGTCTGTCCCTGGTTTTGTCATGCTCAAGTTCTTACGTTCATTCACTCACTCCTCACTCACTTTGTCGTTGTGCCTCCTCACGTTTGTCTTAGTTTCGGCCTCTGTTGCTATTCTGACTGGCCAAAAAGTGAGATGCGCTCTTGACTTGGGTTAGTGCTTTCCTGCTACTGAGTAATACAACGTACATGATCACCCAAGGACCTCAGACACCATCAGCAGACGTAAGTCTGTATCCGATGATAGCGAAGAGACAGGCAGTCCAGCCGGTCTGTATGACCCCCAAGGATTTTTGCGACTGCAAAAGCCTCCTGGCATGAGTAGAACATCACGCGTACGATGTGCTAGCCACTCTCCTTGACGCATCGCCTACTAAACTCGTAGAGTCCACATAACTGTGCCAGTCTGGTGATCTACCGATTGGCACACCCTTTGACAGTCGCCTGCTCTGGCTGTTTGCTGATACGCTGAAATAAATGGCAGCCTACACTCCTTCTCCTCCCTTGCCGTCTCTGGCGTGCAGAGAGCCAAAACACTAGGACCGGCGTCGTCGGTTGATTGCCGTATGGTGGCAGTGGCCGTGCGATCGTTGGACTTGTGTCGCACCTTCTGATGTTCTCGTTTTCTCATTTCCTCCCCATTGTGGCCTCTGGCCTCTGGCCTCTGGCCTCTGGTCTCTGAACATCCTCGCCGTCGTACCTTGCTGCCCTGCGTTTTAATCAACGGCCCGCCCTGGGTATTGATTTGTGCTGCTCGCTCGCGCCTCTGCCTTTGTCCGTCGGGGCCTCATTTACAACGACCTTCTCGTCTTCGCTTGCCCATGCCAAACGTGCCAAACGGGCCGCCCAGAACGAGACCACCCGTTGCCCAAGCCAAGATGCAAATCCCAACGAATAAGGCTCGCTCGATACGGCGCAGTTCATGCCCAGGGCCGCGGCCAGGAGAAGGTTGTCTCAAAGAGTGAAAGTGCACTTCACAGGCGGTGAAGTCTGGCGAGTCCAAAAAACAAAAAGCAAAGGCTGTTGTTGACCGTTTGGCCCCTGTAACGACTGTCGTTCCACTGTAAACAATACGAAATGGCCTGGCCTGGCCGTTCTTTCCGCGTCCGCCAGACGCAGCTTGTTTGGAGTGTCTTATTGGCTGTTAGAGGTTGAGTACGGAACGGCTTGTACTGCAACAGGAAAGAGGGGCTGTCCCTACTTCGTATGTGGACAGACTGTGTACTCTTCCACACTGTGCACTGCGTCCTCGGCAATTAGGCAGGGACTCTGTCGTGACCTCTGCCTTGCTGCCATCTTGCGGTCGGTTGCAAGTACACCGCTTGGTGGCTACTAACAAATGGCAAGTGGTCCAAAAAGAGAGGAAAGTCTGGGAAACCTCCCAATGTGTGGCGCTCTGGACCTGGCCAACTCGAGCGGGTTGTTCCTTCCCTTTTCAAAGGCCCGCAACCGCCGCAAAGTTGACCGTGGGTTGCTCGTACGGAAAGTGCGCTGCTGAAAGTGGGAAGGTAGCAAACAAAAGTGTCCGAAGTAGGCAAGTCGGACTAGATTGCTGCACTGGATGTTCTCGCGTCCAGTCCCATCGTGCCTGCCCTGTATCATTTTGCTTGTGATCTGCTCCTTCCTTTGCCCTCTTGTCCTCGTTGTCCCAGTTGTCCTTGACAGTTCTGCCCTTGACTCACATTTACGCTGTGTTCCCACTCTTCTCTCCTGACATCTCGAAACTGCTCTTCTCGAGGCCCAAGGCCGAAACCGAAGAAGCAACGTAAACACGACAAAAGAATCTGCCCAGTGCCCATCACCAGCGCCCATCACCGGTGCCCATCGCCCGGCTCCTCAGACTCGCCATCACAGGCTCGCAGCCGCGCTTCGTCCGGCTCAACAAGCCCCTGTCAGCCCTCTGTTATTGGCGAACCCCTGTCTGTGGCTCTCTTCCCAGCTATTTTCCTCTTCTGTTCGTCTTCCTTGTCTTCGTCGTCGACACCACCGCACCCCATAGGCCACTTGCACCTGTGGCTCGTCCAGTGCGCATCGTCGACAAACACATTAAAAGGCAACGCGGCCGCCCTCTCCCCTTTCAGTCCCACAAATCAATACAGCAACACTCGGCTTTCTTCTTGTTCTTATTCTCATTCTCAGTCTCGTTCTCATTTTGCGTCTTTTATTTCATCAGTTGCCCCCCTGCTTGATCGTTGCTTGCTTCCACTCGGTCCTACGACTTCGGCCTCACACTTGCTCTCTGTACAAGTATACATATACATAGGCCCAAGCAAACGCACTATCTTCCATCTCCTCCACTCCATCGAGAAACACGAACACGGCAGAAACACTCACCCACACGCCATTCTACCTTTTGTAAGTCACCTCCTCTGAGCCCTCCTTTGAGTGCCCTTCATTTATCAAACTTTCCCTGCTCCTGGCGCGATCTTCGATTTGCATTTTCCTGTTTTGCTGTGGTCTACCTCCCCCAAGTCGACGACGGTCTGTTTTCATACGTTAGCTCGCTCAGCTGAATGCCCCAAGTTCACTCCCGCAAACAACTTCCCCTCAACTAACAAGTTCCTCTATTCCTTTGCCACACCAAGTCCCACCAACAACCACAACTTACAGCTGGTACTCGTGCTCCTCCTTTTTCGGCTTCTCCCACACTCCCACCCTCCCCCACAACCCTGCTCCTCCGCGTGCGTTCTGCTTCCACCGTTCTGTGCCTTTTTCGAACTCTTGACCTCTTGTCCTCTTGGTCTTAAAAGGGCTCTGCCGCCCTCTCACCCGTCTTCCCCACCACTCTTGTCCCTCTTATCGAAATCCCCTTTCGTTTACAACGCAGATCCAAACCCCATTTTGCAAGGGCATACGCCGTATATCCTTTCAGTCTTGTTGCTTCTTCTTTTCTGTATGTTTCTATCCCTCTCACGCTCTCCCGTTGCTTTCCTGTTCATCGCCACCTCGACTTACTCTTTCACTATATCTCCCCATCCATCCCACATCCTTTCGCTCCGCCATCTCTCCAACTCGCCTCATCCTCCCCTCCTCACCCACAATTCCTTCTGCTCCACCACTCACAGCCAAAGCTTGCCCCTACCACCTGCACGCTGCCGTCCCCCTCCTGCTGGTTCTTTTATTTTTGGTAAAGAATCAAGCGACAAAAGAGGGAAAAAAACGCACACAAAATACTCAAATACACATCCCAACACTGCAGACATCGACAGGCCAGACAGCGCCGCACCTTTCCGGCCCGTTCAGCCCTCGACGGGTCAGCCATCCTCCCAAGCCCACAGTTACGCTAACCCCCCATTTTTTCTCAATAGAACCTCTTTAAAACCACAATAGATTTCTGCCCGACACACACCCAGACTCATCTTTCTTTCCCCTGCAACTTGCTGCTCCAGGAAAGCCTTTGTTGATTCCCCTATTTCTTTTTCTCATCATACCCATTTTATTTTCATAATTTTGGCATTCTGTTTTTGGTGTTCTCCCACCGCTTCTTCCCACCGCCTCAGCTCACACATGCCTGGACTTCTGCAGTCTCAACAGACCAGCGCATACATTATTCCCGCCTCCTGCCCTTCTCATCCCGCACCTCACAGCCAGAAACCGACAATGGTCCTGACATATCCCGTGAATTCCTCATACAGGCCAGGCCAACTGTCAGTCGACACCTCTGCTGGCCACCTCACGCAAAAATATTTTGACGAGGACGACAGCATACTTGACGACGCCGTCCTGGACCACAACGCCATCGACTCTGGCCTTGAGATGTCCCCGCCCATGGTCGACAGCCGGAGAGACTCGTTTGTTCTTGGTTCCACATTCTTCTCGCCCAAGCAGGAGGATTGGCAGCCTGTCGAGATGCAATCTATGCCATCCGTCAACCCTTTTGAAGCCAGCACCAATCCATTCCTGCGGATGGATCACCAGCAAGCTCAGCAGCAAGCTCAGCAGCAGGCTCAGCAGCAGGCTCAGCAGCAGGCTCAGCAGCAGCATCAACAGCAGCATCAACAGCAACAACACGCCTTGGGCCTTGATTCTTGGCCCATGACGGCCAGCACGAGCGCTGCTTCGGGTGTTGCTACTCCTGTTGCCCACTTTGACGGACTGCCCGCCGAGATGGACAACAGCGCCTCGGTTTTCCAGCGCGGCTCGCTTCAGACGCCTTTTCCGACCATGGGTGGCGGTCTCTTCCAGACCATGCCCGGCATGTCTGGTATGCACACGGCAGCAAACATGGTGCCGACCACAACCTCCGTTGGTTCGGTTCCCATGCAGGCCAGCTCCAGCAACGACAGTGTCGATACACAGTCTGCCATGCTCCTGAGAATCCCGCCGCAGAGCCCGATGATGCGCTCGCACAACGACATGCGCCGTGGCGATGGTGTCCGCAAGAAGAATTCTCGCTTCGACATCCCGTCGGACCGTAACCTGAACAACATCGACTATCTCATCTCGAAGTCGAAGGACGAGCAGGAGATCAAGGAGCTGAAGCAGCAGAAGCGTCTTCTTCGCAACAGACAAGCTGCGTACGTATTTTTTCCCTCCCAGTTAACGACTTTTTATTTTATCAAAACCGCACTCTACTAACTTTATAACAGTCTTGATTCTAGACAACGCAAAAAGATGCACACGGAGCGGCTTGAGGACGAAAAGAAGCAGTACACCAACCACATCAACAATTTGGAACATGAGATTGAGACTCTCCGCTTGCAGGTGTCTGAGCTGCAGATGGAGAAGCAGAGCGTCAACCAGTACATCGAGAACATGAACATGGACAAGGAGGAGATGATTCGCCAACACACCATCGAGACGGCCGATCTGCGCAAGAAGATCAGCGTCCTTTCCAACCACGTCCAGGTTCTCGAGGGCTCGGCCACTCAGGTGTCGGGCTACACCAACGCTGGCGTTGCTGCCTCGACCTTGGGCCACTTTGGTGGCATGGACAGCCTCACCATGGATGATGCTACGGACTCGTGGGAGCAGTTGTTCCCCGGCATGCCAAGTGTTGGGCAGCCGCAGCAGCCTGAGCAGCGCCAGCAAGTTGTCGAGGTCAAGGCCGACCCCGAGCCGACCAAGACCAACAACGCCGAGGCTGTTGGCTCCGTCTTGGCCTCGACCGAAAAGTCGGGCTCCCAGGGTGGCCTCCTCTTCATGCTCTTCCTTGTCGGCGCCTTTGTCATGTCGAGCCGCCAGATGCCCAGTATACCGCAAGTGTCGGACGAGATGCGCGTCGCCTCGGCTGAGCTCCTGGAGAACGTCCTCAAGGATGCCACCGAGAATGCGGCCAGCGTCAGCGCCCCAGCCACTGCCGCCATCCCTTCGTCTTCGGTCAACGCCAATGTCGCTGCGCCCTCTGCTTCGTCGTGGGCTCAGCCGGCAACCGTCGAGCCGTCCATGCTCGGTCAACTCTCTGACCAGCTCATGCAGCCGACCGAAGACCAGGCCAACGAGCAGCTGTTCTCACTGAATGCCGCGCAGTACAGCGGCGTTGTGAGCTACCAGCATCCTCCCACGGCCGAGACCGCTGCTGTCCCCTCGTCTGCCCCCACCAACCAGGGCCGCCGCAACCTTGCTGACGCCCTTGCTGCTGTGCGCAGCAACAGCAAGGCTGAGGTCTACACCCGGTCGCTCTTGTGGGACCAGATCCCCAGCGACGTTGTGCGGTCTTTTGTCAAGATGGTCTCCGAGGTGAACACGGCATCCCCCGGTGCTGATGGCGAGCAGTAAATTTGCTGCCTCTGCGTCTTCATTCTCATCGTCTTCTTCTGCTTCGTCTTCTTTTCGGTTTTCGTCTCTATGTCAAGGGACTGATTCGCGCACAATTTTGCATTTCTTTTGACGACTTTTACTTTTCTTCATGATCATGATTGATTTCTTCAACGGCGACACAAACAGCTCAGAGAAGGCCGGTGCTCTTCTACTTTTTATGAATTGCTTTCAAGCGTTTCTTTTTTTTTTTTTTTAACTTCTCACATACCTATGCTTTCCTACATTCGGATTATGACAGTCAACGGCATCGAACAGCTACACGATCTTCGCATACCAAGTGCGACAGTTTTTGTTTTTCCAACTCTGCGTTTATTCATCGTCGGAATTTTGCTTTCAGCGACTCTATTTGCGTTATTCAGCCTCGGGCTTTTCGGTCAACTGAAACGCAATCATCAAAACCAACGCGCTCACGCGCCATGCTTTAACCACTGTTCTTCACTCTCGAACACTTCGTATTTTGAGACCCCTTCCAACGGGGTTACCCACATTCGCTCTTGGCTCTGCGAGCCGCCGACTCCGAATTTTCTTTTGTGTTCTCTTTTCTGTGTTGTTTTGCACTTTTTGGCCGCCAAAGAGTTCTAAACTTTCAAATCTGGGATACAATGATTTCTTTCTCCCCCTCAACCCTTCACTTCGCCAGCTGGGGGTGACCGATCCCTTGTCTGAGTTTCTGTTTCTGTCTGTCTGCTGTGTCATCATGTTCAACACCCCCATTTTATCGTTTTGCATTCTTCTTTGCGTTTCTTTCTGTCAAGCCAGCGATTTGATTTTTTGCATTTATGCCTTTTTGCCTTTCCACTCTGCTTTTTTTGCTTTTTCAGTTTTCAAGCCAGCCAAGCAAGCGAGCGAGTTCGTTCAAGTTTTGCTTTTCTCCCTTTTCTGCTTTCAACTGATTTTCTTTGCATTTTTTGTTCCGAATCTTATGAAAGACTGCTCTTGTTTTTTATCTAACGTCTC